GTGATGGAAAAGATGGAAAGATGGAAAATCATCTTTGGATATGTGTCTCGAAAGATTGAAAACAGTTTCATAGCTTTTACATGGAATCATGTGATCTTATACAAACGATATTTGAATAATGGAGTCACACATTTGATTTATGGAAGCAAGATTTATATTTTACTTTTCTATCAATAAAATTAGAGTTTAAATATTTAGCATAAAACATTTAAACTGACATGAAATTTACATATCATGGCTATACCTACCATGGCTATACCTACCTATACATACCATGGTCATACATATCATGCCTTGTTTTTATTCATCCACCTACTTATTATAGGGTATAAATGAGAAATAACTTTAGAAGTCATAATCTTTTACATATTTTTATTTCTCATTCAAGGGACAAATGATGATTCTTTATATTATCGTAATGAATGAGGTGTGTCGAAAATATTGGATATATCACGTAGTAATCTATACTTAAAAGACAACTACATTTGATATTGATTTACCAAATTACTTTTATAAAAGCATTTTTTTATTTTTTTTCAAAATGCTGTATTGAGAATCAATAAATCCTTTGTCAAATTTTTATTTTTATTCATCTTTAAGATGAATGGAGAATGAAAGAAAGCAAATTATGTGGATTTGTAGAATAGTGATTTGTTGGTACTCTAGCTTATGAATTGTATAAAGATGTTAGTAAGAGAAATCACAATAATTTGACACGGATGCATGATGAAGTATGTTTAAATTTTTTTTAATATGTTGTTTTATATGTTTCTTTAAATCAACATGTTTTCAGTGTGCTATAAGTAACACTAATCAATGTCAAATTTTGTAGAACAGTCACGGTAGATAATGTTTATTTCAATGGCTTTGTTGTTTGTAGATCACTTGATCTTCATCATTTTAAAATCTTGAAGATTTTGCGATTGGACCTAGTGTTGGATTCATTTCATTACTATAATGTTAGATGGAATCCTTCCATCCTTCTTGCTATTTACCTGTCGAGGCCTTGTTTCATTGAAACTGTCAATAATGATCTGATACAAGATTTTTAATCTATATAAGTTGGATGAGTATTCACTTTTTCTTATTTCTTAATAAAAGGAAAAAAAATTGGATTTTTATCTTAAGAATTATACAAGCTAGTAATCTATACATATATTAATGTGTACACTTTGCCAATAATAGACCATACATTATGCTAAAAGTGCATGATATCCATGTTGCATAGGTTATAGGTTTTCATGCAAACATCTCCGAGTTGACTTTCATGTCTTCTTGTATAGTGAATAATATAACTAACCATGTGTTCGAGATATGGGGTAATGACTTTCCCATCCTTCTATGATTCCCTTCCGAATTAGTATAATGATTCTAACCCAACAAGATATATGAATAATTACACTTTTCCAAATTATGTCACATGTAGAATATGAAAAAACATGTGCAATAATGCAAAAGGCAAGTGCCTGGATATGAGGTAACGCTCCATGTATGTGAGCAGAATTGATATTCTATCTCTCAACTGGACAAGGAGAAACTGTTGGCGTATTTCGGTATGGGTTCAAGTATGGAAATAGCTATATAGCAACACTGAACTCTCACAAAATGATTCGCAAACGCCACCGACCCCCCGCCTCGGTCCTCAATTTCTGGGCACCTCCTTGATTCAACAGTAAGGCCAAACAGGCAATTGACCGGCTCGTAGAGTAAAACTGTCTCGGGAATGAAGATGGAAAGAAATGATAATTGATAAGGTTTTATTGATCCTATTGGCTGGTGGCAGCGAGTTCCAGGTTTGAGGATGATGCTCAGCAAGTACATGTACAGATTTGGGCCGAAATAAGGAGCTCTAGTGTAGACAGGAATCATGAAATCCACATGGGGCATGAAGATGTAAGCCACACGACTTTACGTATTTACAACTCTGAGAGGCAGTCGAAGTAGATCTTGTTCCCTTCGTGTTCTGGAAGGGCCGGTGAAGGAAGGAAGGAAGGACATTGGATCTCCCGAATTCCCAAATGTGGCACCGGGATGAACAAAGACCGGAGTTGTCGAGTCGTAGAAAAGTCAGATAATTCTCCAGTCTAGTGCCCAAACACATAAAAAAGCCATCTAATTAATGACTTGAACTTCCCCGGAAGCAAGCAGAAAGTGGAGAATATGGCGAGGTGGTGGCAGTGCATAAATTCCGACGCGAAAATGTGACATCTTCGTTCCACTCCGGGATGGACTTTAATAGAAGGTCTTGGTCTACACATCAGGAGACACAAGTGATGGGTTTTTTTATATGGCAATCAGTATGATGTAGTTCTTGGGATGTAACGGCCTCTAGCGCCTTACATTTGCTGGTCGAAATCGATAGATGATAAAAGATTGGGGTGATGTGAAGGGCTTGTCTGCTGCTCCATGGAGTCTATCGCAAGAAGAATTGGTCAAAGGCACACACCACGGCATGCAACACATGCCGGAGTTGGGAGAGATGGCTGGTGATGGCTTTTGAGGAAGCTTTTGGATCATAAAGACCTTTTTAACTGACTGCGGAGCCGCCTCCGCATGTACTTGTCTTGCCTTCCGTCCTCTATGAAATTCTTCAGCAATCATCTAATCTGCAAGTGTTCGAGCAGGAGGAGGGTTCAGGCATCAGCAGCTGCTGCTTGAGGGCATTTTGATAGGATCGCTCAAATCTCACACACTTTAGTTCAACTGATTTGTTGACCGAAAACCGGAACAGTAGATTGGCAAACGCATCCCAAGGAACGGACGACACAATCGAAGAGAGTAAGTACGGTCTGACAGTCCAGTAGTGAGTCAGTCAGTGTTCTTTTCGATCTTAGGCTTTTTTTGCGCTCAGAGATGAAGAGGAAGATAGAGAGAGAAAGAGAGAGAGAGAGCGGACGCGCTTCGGGATCTACACACTTCCACTTCGTATGACGATGTGATGGACGATGTGAAATTTTTGATCCATGTTCTCACACTCAATCGCACCCGCTCAGCTGCGGCAGAGGCCAAACCATGACAGCCGCAGTCAGTAGTTAGTCAGTTTCATCCTTCGCAGGGCACAACTCCAAGGAAAGCGTTTCAAGGACAGTAGTCGTCTTCGTCTTCGTCATGGGTAAATGGGATCGGGATCGGGATCCATGGCGTTTTAGGGTGTGGCGTGGTGCGGTACCAACCAGACTGCTGCTGCTGCTGCTCCTCTCCTCTTCCTCAACTCAAGATGCCTGGGGAAAAGAACCCGCATCAGGCGAGGTCTGAATCACACACCAGCTCGTACGACATCAGTCCACCTCACCCCATCTCAAGCAAACAAACGAACCCACAACCACCTCGACTTAACTTCAGTTCATGCTGCTGGTTAGAGTGTCTGTTGCGAGTGTTTGGAGCTCGCATGCCTCCATTTCATTCTCTCGTGGCGGGAGCCGCCATGTCTGAGCCCTCGCACACAATCGAATCCACGAAACCTGCTGAGTCTCCCGCAGAAACAGTCATAAACCGCTTTCGAGCAGATAATGTTTGCGAAAACCGGCATCACTAATTCAATGATCACCCGCAGCGAGCAAGATGATCATCTGTGGGATGCATCCAGATGCAACGAGACACATCCCTTGACATTGATTCGGGCGAGACAAAGCCACCGCGTTTGATTTATCCCGCTCCCTCCCTGCGCATCCGCCACTGCCCACCGCAACGAACGAACGAATCGCACGAGTGGCTGCGCCAAAGGGAGCCCAGACTCTACAGTAATGATCTTCCGCCAGCTCGTGAATGCTGCAGACCTCGCGCACTGGTCAATTGCTCGCGCTCCATCGCCAACCCTTCTCAGCACCGACGACGGATTCGCCTCTTAGGGTTGGGCCAGGTTTGGACTGCACAGGCCTGTGAGTTTAGAGTACGCTGTACGTAGCAGGGGGAGAAGTAGTCTCCATGGCTTGACCGTAGTTGGCAAGCCACCAGGCCAATGGCTCGTGGGTTCGATCTGTGCCTACGATTCTGCCAACAATTAATTGGCCCGGTCGACGCTCGGGTATGGGGCGAGAACAGGTACGAGATTTCCTGATAGAGGGGGATGCTTTGCACTTGGCCACTGGAGGACGCAGTTGTTCACGAGCGATGCGTTGAATCAATGATGAAAGCGTTCATGAAATCTCGATCATTTTTTGTCGTTGAAAGCGGTCTTCGCCGATGTGACGTAGCATGGGCCTCGTCCTCGTCCTCGTCCAAGGTAGGTCCGAGTGAGTCGTACAGCGCAATCGCACAAGCATTGCCCATGGATTTGTCCTCGGGCCGAACCAAGCATGGCAGGACAGGTTTGTACTCATCCGGAAGACGACGTACCACACAGAAGCGAGCTGTATTTACCCCGCCCGAGCAGGCCAGATGGAGCAGATTCTTTGGGACGGGCGATTGGCTTGCCGAGCTCGCTAGTGGGCTAGAGCAAAGGCGGAGGGAATTAGACCAAAAGTTGGACGAGAACGATCCAGCTCGGACTGTGGTACAGCAGGTGCTGGGGAAAACGGGGAATACTGTGGCGGGGGAGTGAAGTGAAGGTGAATGTGAATTAGGCGAGGGGGAGCCAGAAAAGGCGGAGGATCGGTATGGGTCGAGAAGGGGGAAGGAAGGTGCACGGAGGAGGAGAGGGACCTCGGTCTCGGAACTCCTTTCGATGACAATCACGTGGAATGGAGGGCCCTCCCAGAATCTGGTGCTTGAGTGAGGGAGCAGGATATCCGATGACTTGCAGAAGGCAGGCAGGCAGGCAGGCAGTCTTGCGCAAGACTGCTGACAAAAGGGGAGCTTATCATATTGCGCGAGACGAGAAAAGTATTCTACTCGCCCATTATCTAACAGAAACTTCCAACACCTTTTGCTTGCCCACAGGTGTGCCGGATGGCTTCCGATACATGTGTACAGTTGCTGCTCCATCACCCGCAGTGCCAACAACCCACATGAGGAACATGGAACAGCCCTCCTTCCACTCACCGGAAGGCAGCCTGGGCTGCGCATTTGCTCTCAGAAACATAAAAGGGCCCGAGGTGGAGTCCCCATTCAACAACGACACGGTCAGCTCGGCATGTTCCATTGGCAGTCAGTCCAGTCGCTGGGCGGAAATCTGGCTGACCCGAGTGTGGGAGTGTATTGCACAATTTGTAAATGGGAAATCGTTCACATATTTACATGAGGACAGACGTCCTCACTCGGGAAATCGGTCAGAACGCGAACTCTAATGTACATGAGCCTCGCATATGCACACATATATAATAGTTGTTGTTGTAGATACAGCTAAGGTTTCGAACAGTGTGCCGCTTTTCATAATTATCCGCAGAGTGATGATATGTAGAAGTCTTGGCGTATCCCGGCGCCCTCCTTCGCTCCGCGTGGCTTCGCAATCGCAGTCCTCCACGATGACTACACAGGGCTTCGGCCCAGGTCACTATGACCTTCCTGTACACGCCGCGGCCACAGAAACTACCAAATGAGGAATAATGCATGCGGGTCTCATCGAATCGAACGCAGCTGCGCACTCTTACGGTCTACGAGGTCCATGGTCAGTGCAGACAGCATTCAAATAGAACTTCTCCCCGTCGGTTCTCCGAGGCGTCCAATGTCACATCGTGGTTGCATGCTTACGGAACAAGGTTGCCCTGTGATGGATGTGTAACTTCACGGACAGGACGCCCGCCACGGGACGAGGCAGGTTGACATTCGGCCCCCCCAGGTCGGATTACTGTCAACCCCAAAGGATTCAACGGCCTGCGCGTCTATCCCCTCCCCTGCGACCGAACAGTGCTCGGTCTAGCTCTGACTTTTTTGCTCGCCTTGGTACGTGAATGCTTGCGCCCTTCCCTCCTTTCGGAACTGACATGTGCTTGTCACTCCCGCGGAGTAGGACCTCCGGGGAAATTGCGCTTCCGTTCTCTGTTGACATTCCAGCCTCATCCTGTAGATGCAACTTTCACGAAAGGCTTTCTCGTGATCGAGGCGAAAAAATCTAGTGTCAACGAGTTTGGCTGTAGGTGCGCGCAGACCCAATTCACACGTTTAACGCGTGAGCTCGTGTGCATGTCCACGAAATCCACAGCCTAAGTCGTTTGTCTCCTGATTTCAAAACACATTTTTCGACTGAGACACTTTATCCGGGGTCCTTGTTCAACAGCGAAAGTTCTCTCTTGCAATAGAGGTATAATGTAATACCTCTTTAAGCTCATAAAAGCTAGCATACGACTTTCCGTAAAGCCTTTGCTTTCTATTCGCTGGCTGATGGTTCGAGATGTTCTAAAAAGGAGGCGACCGGGGTGATGTTCCGGAGATTTACGACTCTTTCTTCAACCTAGAGGTGTACGGGTTCACACGCCTCGGACAGCTTCGGAGTTCAGACAGGAGTTCGTCCAGAAGGGGAACTCACATGCTAGATCTTTCTTCATCTTCGGGGACTATAATATTGACGCCGAGTGCGCACGCCTGATTGGTTCGCCCAAAAGTGTGGCATGGAAACAGCTCCTTCAAAAAGCTCCCTCTCCTACGGACATTACATCCTCACGATAGAACTAGGGGAATATGATGAGAAACATCACGGGGAAGGACGGGATGAAAAGTCTCGGCAGGCGCAGGGACACGGAGGTTTTGGATAAACAGGAATAATAGTCTTTACACGTAGACGCAGAAGCCTGCGTCCAACAGCCGGAGAAACCAATGCATTGGCTTCTTAGCAAAAATGCTACGCGTAAACCACCAATCTGCTGGAGGTTGATGACCACTTCAACAAGTTATAAGCCGAGTACATTCTTCTGAAGTAGTTTCTGGTTTCCGCATCCCAAGTCCCTATAATTTGGGTCCGAAGTGCATACCACATGACATTTCAGCATGTCAACAGATGCAACCTTGATTAAGTGGGTGGCACTGCACCTTAAGAACGGGATCTCCGCGCATAAACTTTCCATGCACGGCGAGCCGTAATCTTATTGTTGTCTTCACAGTTCCTTGCATTGCTCTAGGGAGAACTTTAGAACAAACATGGTGATGGGGACGCGCGTTCATTACGGAGCCAACACTTTCCAGATGATCCAACTGTTGTATTGTTCACGTCCTAGGTTCCCGAATTCCACATGCAAGTTACAAGGCTCCTCTCCGTATTTTAGTTTGAAGATAATAAAAAACATCAGAATTCATTCTCGCAGACCAGGCGACCATCTTGGCAACGGAGTTCACTTGAAAAAGACTTTAGATCGGACTTGGTAAAGAGGGTGGGTAAGAAGCATGCAGAGGAAATTGGCTTGCGCTAAAGGGCAAACCATACAAGGACCCCCTACACCAGGAGGTAACTTTCTTCACAATGCACCCAAATGTAGTCCAAATAAAGTAAAGACTGGAAAGGGTTTCATTGATGCGACGAAAAGGTCTCGGGTAAAAAAAACTCTAGGGTGGACAGAAGGGTAGAGGTGGTTCAACCGTTCGCTCAGGTTTCAAACTCAAGGAGCAAATTCCATCAGGTTGCGTCATGTGCAAGTTGTCGGGTCAAAAGAATGGTCAGCGTACCTTTGAGACGGGGTTCAAACTTGAAGCTCTGGATGGAAAGATATGTACAAACTCAAGCGTTTGTCCCATTGCTTAGAGTAGATGGCACTCTGCAAAATAGGAAGAAATGATGATTGTCAAATTGGTAGCTGCAACGAGAACCAACAGCAGTCTATTTCATCACCGGACAAGGTGGGGAAGAAGGGATTTACTTGCATAGCTGCTTAAGCTCTGGCTGTGACAGGAGTTGCTCGGGTAAAGGCCTCTCGCCAGGATTGAATCTGTAAGTACAGATAAAAGTTTAAATACCTGCCCAAGAAGACGTGTATAGGCTAATCTGCACGTTAAAACTGCGAATGTAGAGGCAGAACTACTACGAAGTGCGAAGCGAATGCATCAAACGGGGAGACATACAGGTTAATGGAAGGTGATATAGACATCTGCAATGCTCGACAAATATGAGATAGACAGGCAATTATCAAACCAAGAAGAACGGAGAGACTTCCAAAAAAAAACTCACCCTGAACCTTCGTCGAGTGACAACAGCTTGTGATTGATCCTCAGATCGTGTCCTACATAGCTTACAACCAGGGCACCTGCATCAGGATGAGGCCAGAAACGAGAGCAGGCAAATCGAAGTAGAAATGTTCCAGGCTTGGCCATTGACTCTGAACTCCTGAGCAGAAGAGCTTCCACCTCCTCCTTATAGATCATTCCCTCGATCCACTTGGGCTCCTCATTATCCCATATAGCACGAACTTGGGAGGACCTTAGGGTCAGGGCTATTGGATAGATCCAACTCCATAGACTGTCAAACTGTTCCCTAGTGACGAAGTCACCGCAACCTGCTACGCGATTGAGAAATTCTTTGTCCTGCACAAAGAAACCTAGCAACATTCAGCCTCTTTCTTCCTGGTTTTCCATCGAGTTCTGCGGGTAACAGAGAAACAAAATTTTTCCACATTCATCTTAAAAGACGTTCCCCACATACCTTGATAGACAACATTCGTTGAACACTGGAGATTTTAGTGAATCTCTCTTCAACACAAGAAATCACTTGCGTCCAAAGTGGGGGAAGTGATTTTCTTGTGGCTTCTGACCAAACTTCATTCGCTTCCAATATGAGACTTTTAGATATCATTATTTGATATCTGTTCCAAAATTCCTGCTGTCAGATATTTCCTTGAAACTATTCATGGACAAACCTGAAAACAAAATTTCAACAAAACAAGAGACTTCTGAAGTTGAAAACAACTTGTTAACTTACCCATCATGTCGACATCCGGTACAATGGGATACACGTGCAGCCAACTCAGCAAGCTCTTGGTCACCGTGATTCACGATGAATAACTTCAGAAATGCAGTGCGGCCTTGTATGTTTTCGAGACAGTATTTAAAAACCAGAAAATCGGACAAGGGAGACGATGGATTCCGTGAAAGTGGACTCTCAACTCGACCTGTGAATTTATGTCTCCCTTCCCGATGAACCTCATGCTTGGTACCATAATCAGCAGCAACTCCCGGTACATCGAGTCTCGGGGTCCCCCCAGAGTTTCCCGAGTAAGCAGATGGCAACTTCAGCGGGGCAGTGGCCAAAGTCGCTGCAGGATGAATTAGCCACTGTGACCGACCGTCTCCACTCACTGCATAGCCATTTGTCCGAGTGTCCAGTGTAGGTGAGTGTATGGCTCCTCCACGACTATTAATCAGAACTGGAACAGCAGGTTTTTCAACCCCAGTTCGATTTCGTTTGTGATATGGTCCATTGGCAGAAGGAGCAGCACTAGATCCATTGCAGATACTGTCCACCTCTGTTGTGATCGTCTCTTCGGCATTCGGCGAAATCGCGCCCTCCTGAGGAAATGCGGCGGAGTGTGGTCGCTTGTAAGGTGCAGCAGGAGCTCGATGGTTTCGATTTCGAGAGACGCACCTGATAGGCCGAGAAAAGGCTCTCAAAAATGGGTATTTTGGTGTACTCGGAGAGTCGAAGCAAACACGGAAGAGCCGATTGTCGCATTTCGAGGAGAGCTACATATGACCAATCACATAACAACAGTTAGAAGATACCAACTGCTTACACATTTCTAAACATTGTAGATAAAGATGTGAGCGAAACAGGCAACTTTTGAATTGCTGAAGAGGGAACGCTGACGAATAAGTATTTTAAAGGAAGATGCTCCAAAGCACATACTGCGGGGGTATCCTCGTCTCTGTTTTATGTACAGGAACATAGATTTTGGACGAGATAAGTAAGTCCTATTGAAGCTATTAAACATACGCTTTAACATGAAAAGAGACATCTGATGAAGATATACCCGTCTAGTATACCTCAATCCCATTCACAACACATGATCTATAAAGAATCACAAAACAGATATATTGCAAGCTTCCAACTCAGAATCCCAAATCATTGATATTTCCGACCCCAGAACCTATGAGTTCGGAAATACCAACGATGTAATTGCAATTCTCGGAGCCAGTTTCTTAGCAGCAAAATAGTAATTATAGACAGCAAACGTTAGTTACGAAATCTTAAATATGGTAAGATTTCGTAACCTTACCATATTTAAGTACTGATTTCTTTTTGAGTCTAAGTAAGGATTACCAGCCATCAGCCACCTTGAGATTAGACTTCAAAGGTAGGACCTCAGGTTCAAGTTTGAGCCATTGTTTCTATTTACATATATCCACCTTGATAATTTCCTCAGTTACTCATTACAACTTTGAATGAGCGAGTGCTGAGAAATGGGGTGGAGTTAACACTCCAGCTGAAATTCGAATTGGACTCAATTCAAGTGTGGGGAGTGAATTTACAGAGTTCTAACCTCAGTGTTGCTGGTCATAGCCCACCTGATGGTGGAGGGGAGTGGTAGCAAGCTATGGCTTATATACGAGAGTAAATAGGAGCATCACGCACTGCTGGCGATACATCAGGAAGATATCCTAATCAACAGCTGCAACAGAATAGAATACGGAAACAATATCCTGAAACACGATATTATCTACTCTAAATACATCACTGACCTGTGATATTTTCAACTTGAAAGAAGCACGACCGTGAACTAGTTTTATTGGTCGCTCCGTTGATGGGAATTCCACTCCATCGAAAGTCGTCAAAAGTGGAGCCTCCGCATCATCCTTCGGCTTTTCTACCGGTAAGTTGGAATCCGAATACACGAGGGAAGCAACTAACTGTTTCATGGAGGAGGAGCAAAAGTGAATAACCCAGTTAAGGCCAACTCGTAGTAACTCTCTCTAAATAAGCATCCCAGTAAGGGGCTGAACAACACAAGTTTGTGGCAGAACATTTGAGACAAGTCATAAAATATTTGAAAAGATGAATAGATTGAGAGTAGAAAACAAGTACCTCCATTTCCTTGTGAATGGATCGACCCAGAGCATCCAAAAGGGCCACATCAAGGGCAAAGTTTCGACGACATGATGCCTGAAAAAACAAATGCAAAGTTTGACGGCTGAATTGTCCATTCATTCACCGGGTAGAATGTTTCTCGATGTACGTCTTTTAGGGCATGTCTATCTTATGAATATCAGATTCTATTTTTGAGGTAATCTCGGGTATAAACCAGCAGAATCGACTACAATAAGGATGTGTTGTCGGAAGAAATCTTCATGGATCACTCTGAAATTGCTGCTTAATCCAAGCTCTGAAATGGCTGACCTGGAGCACTAAAAGCGTGAACATTTTCTTTCAGATAAAGTTGGCTGTAATGCACCCAACAAACACAATTACGCTGATATTTACGGTGGCAGTCCAAACAATCAACTCGCAAATATTCAATTAGGAAACAAGATGATGTTGGTTTCCAATAATACAGACCTTCCATTCTAGGAACTGAGGGTCAAAGCTGTTTGATCCAGGACTAATATTCTGTCGTCTAAATTAGCTTTTCTTCCTAGTGTCCTCTCTCATTTAGTAGCAGCTTGTGGGGAATGGGGATTGCACATGACGAAATCTATGGATGACTGACATAACACCACAGCAGTGCGATTTAATGGAAAACTCATAGATAAACCTAGTTACTAAACGTCCTAGTAGCCGTTCAAAAAACGCAGTCTGCCAAGCAATGAAAAAAAATGTGCACCCCCTTTTTTTTCTCTTACGGCTATCAACATGGAAAATACGATGAGGTTCTACAAAAGGGACAAATTACTCCTGCAAATTCCAACATGAAGTTCAACATCTGACCATCAGAAATCTTCCAAGAAAAATTGGCTCGTAGAATTACAATTTTCTTCTCGTTCACTAACGATACAGAACAAGGGGGCATCCCACAAATAATAAAATATGACGTTTGAGTAATATGACATATTTGCTCGACAGAAGCTTACGCACATGATAGCACCAAGTTGGCAACACCTAAAATTTGGACTGGACAAGAGGACAACATCTACAGAACTGTGTGGAAGGTGCAAATGTCTTACCTTGCCACCAACGACGCTCCACGATCCATCTCCACCTTCTTCGACTTCATGGTCATCAGTGGCACCAGACGTGCCTTCAAGTAAAAGCTCCAAAGGTGGATTCTGCATGGAGCATCCAACATCCTGAAGATTACTATTGAGCCCTGGTTTTGATGAAGTGCCTTGACTGAGTAACCCCGATACTATATATAGAACGTTTACTATAACATACTGTCAAAATTCCATAATACTATAGCTCTAGAAAACAAACGTAGAGATGAGCAGAACACACCTTGACATAATGGTTTGTTACAGTTGGTTGAGGGAGCATCCGTACGAGGTAGGCAAAAGCCTGGACAGGCGAACCTGCAGACAGGCCTGATCCTCCACGGAGAAGAACTTCTTCCTTCTCTCCTGTTTCGCTCTCACCGAAAGCAGGCAATGGAAGGCGCTTTTCACCGACAATTACTCCATCTATGTGCAGACGAGCGATATCCGACCCAATCTGCAGTCACGAATTTGTAACTTGAGACGAGATGGGACATTCACAGTCGCCGGATACGGTGCACTTAGTCTCATCCTCACCACGAATCCTCCTTTGATTAGGACTTAGAACTTGGTCCTGAGTGTATAAACTAAAAGTCCACGGGCATCCAACAGGGCGATGGACTACATTGTATATCTACCATCTTTTGACTTTCCCTTCCTTTCCCTTCTACTGGATGCCAGTTCTTCGAGTATGACATTTGACTAACTACGACAACCATTCAGATGAAGGTTAAAGACCTGATGACCGTACATTGCACAGCAATGTCCGGTCAGCTCGCGAGCTTAAAGGGAAACAAAGGAGCCAGTAAGGCACATTCCAGCTTTCAAGAGAAAGCCATCATGGGCCGACAACACTTCAACCATTACAAAGAATGTACGTACCTCACAACCCACGTGCACCCATTTCTCGATGTTACATGGTTTCTCCGCAAGCAACACGTCCATATCGTTTGAAATTTCGGCATCATCACCCTCTGGATGCAAGCCATGTAAGGCCAACTTACGATCTGTATCCAGCGTGAGGAAAGGCACGGCTCGGACATCATCCAGCTGACCCTGAGTTCGGAACATGAGGGCCAGAACTGTCAGATAACTAACTTGTCAAAAACCACAAACATACTCCTCCGTCATGGGAAGTTCAACAAATGAGACCCATCGTAACCTGCTTGCCGAGCACACGCGTGAAACTGCAAAAACCTTCGTGAAGTTCAAACATGCACAATGCAGATGCCACGCGTCACTGATAACGTCGTGGAGAGCAACAGGAGAGGCTGAACAAGCCCACAACTGCACTACCTCAAATTGATCACCACATAGATTATTGAGGCTGACCTTTGTTCCTTGTCGTATGATTATGCCAGGAAGACTGCTCTTGAGAAGATACAGCCAAAAGCATAGAGTGTGCGTCTCATGTTCCGGTGAACCTCCTCTCCGAAAGCTCAACGACAATGAGTCCAACTGCAGATAGTCATCGTCGCCGAATACGGCACCCGAACTCTTCGTACACATAGCTGCGACGTGATAGGAACTTCCGAAGTTGAAAGTCACATGTACTTCACGAAGCCTTGGCACAGGTGTACTCTTGTGACATAAGCAAGGGCATTATACCCTGTCCGTCAATCTGTATCACATCGATCACACAGCGCTACTTGCGCAAAAAATGTGTAATTCCCGACTTGTGCGCCGGGACGTGCGTAGAATCGCACACCACTACACAAACGGTACTTTCTATTGACTCCACCGGCCGATCGAGGAATCGAAGAGACCCTGCATATGTAAATTATGAGTGAGAAAAGAGCAGAGTTTGGGAAAGAAGGTATGAATTCGCGTTGACCGGGTCATGAAAGATTATTCAAATTCAGCAGGTCCTTCCAAGACGCCCACAATACCAGGCCCATCACAACCGAAATGCAATATTTGAGGCGAACTGATCTTTCTGATCTCTACACCAGTCCGGCTCGAAGGCCACATTCCCAGGAAAAAAAGATGTGCAGCGTTTTTCCCCACCGAAGTGCGTGCAGAAGACATTCGACACCCTTGTACGTTCGAGAAAGACCAGGGACGTCCAAATTCCCCCCACAATCTTGAAAAGCGGATAAAATCGACCTGCTTCGCCCCACCCGCTCGTCCTTCCATCATTTTTCTGCAACACAAAATCTCAGGGCCTCAGACAATTGCCCGACAACAAGACCACCACCGTGCAAGCACCCAAAGGCCGCACTCGAGTAAACCGAGTCCCAAACAATCCACACACGATCACCACCACCACCTCCCCCTCCTCTCTCTCACAGCTGGGAACCGCCCCAGCTACAAAAGGAAAAACCCCTCGACTCGAGCACAGGCTCCCGACGACGACCACGATGTTCATCGAGTCCAATTGCACATCTCAAGCCTCCCCTGGGGAGCATCAGAGCTCCCCAGAAAACGGGAGAAAAAAATTTCAACACCGCAACTCAAAGCTCAGGCACTGACTGACTGGCCTTCGTCCTCGTACCTGAGCACCGGGAACGCCGACGAAGAGATCTAATCAGGTGCAGCACTGAGTCAGACAACGGCTGAGCGCGACGAAAACAGACCCCGGCCAGCCTCCCCGCGCTGCCGGCGTCGTCGCTGTTGGTGCCAATGTACCAGCACACAGAGAGCGTGGGACGAAAAGACAATGGCAGTGGGCAGTGGCAGTAGCAGCGCTGCTGCTGCTGGCGGGCGGGCGGGCTGGCTGTCTTCCTGTTGGCCTGGTCTCGCTCTCGCTCGCAAAGCTCCGCTCGCTCAACAGTCTGCGCATGAATGACCACACCAGACGACGACGATACGAGACGAAACGAAACGAAAGCAGCCCACAAGCGAACAGAAAGAGAGAGCGGTAGCCGGGGCCAGCCAGCCAGCCAGCAACCAACAACAGCTTCGCAACAACAACGGAACGCAGCAGCAGCAGCAGAAGGACGGAAGGACGCAGCGGCAGCAGGCAGCAGGCACAGACCTCCTCTTCGCAACCGGGAGTATGCATTGCCTACGAGGCGACGACTGGGACGAGCCCGGTGCTGACCACCCAGAATGCAGGACATTCGGATTGCTGACCGGCGCGGTCTGGGCCGCTGCTCTCATGCCCATGCCCATGCATGCATGCTCGACTCCATGCGGCGGTCTCATCTCGTTCATTACATGTCCGGTAGTTACAGGCCAGACGGGTTGCTCTTCCTCGACTTATCTCTTTCGAGATACAAAGTAAACAGACATGCATCGGCCCCTGCAGAAGAATTTCACTCGAGGAAACTTGGAAGAAACAATTATCGCAGGGATGGGTTTTGTTGGTACATAATATAATGAGGTTGGCATGCCCGCTTTCCATATTTCTTGATTTTGAACCGATAGATCTTTCCATAACAATATGCATCCTCATCTCGGAGTCTGAAATATACTTCAGATAGATTACATTCTTACGGAGTCTCCCAACAAAGTCGCATTTTGTGATGAAATGGGATGAAAATCAAAGTGTACCAAAACTTAATAAATATTTATTGACTTTATTTCATTCTATATCAAATTTCCTATGTTTTTGTTTCACTTTTTGAAGATTATATTTAACTTTCTGACCTTTTTACATTACAAAAACTTTGAAGTAAGTATTTAACTTCTTTATTGACAAATTTTGCATCGATTGATATGTGAAATTCTCCTCATGCAAAATTGAGATCAAAAAGGAGAATTTTTCATATAGTACATGTCATGATTATAAGATCATCATACATTGTCTTGAATGCATATAAACTTATAGAAATATATACAGATTGTGTAGGAAAGACTGTTTTCATGAATGTATACAATTTTGATATATTTGTGGAAAAATACATGACATGTCTAGTCATTTCTTGAAAAAATATTACAGTAACCTAGCATTGTCTTTAGTTGATTCAAGAAGACATTTATAAAACCAAAAAAACACATGTCTAGTATAAGCTATTTTCAATAGTAATAAATTTTACACCCAATATATAAACATATAATTAGAATACTATTAGCTTCTCATAGAAAATGAATAAACATGTGTTTGACTGGCTGGAATTGTGAAGATTTAGGACCTTGTATTGATTTCAAAAACACACACGTAATCATGATTTAAACTTCCTGATATTTGAGAATCATATACAAAGCAATTATGTTATCGATTGTCAAATATATAGTTTTTTTGTATACCTGTCAAATCTATACTATTCGTGCATACTCATGATTCAGTGTTTTGAATCTTGCATTCATGATTCTAATGGAATTAAACAATAAATATGCATTTTTTTTTGTTTGAAATGAGTGAAAAAATAGATTAGTATTAAATTTACATCGTACAATCAACAATATTAATTCCATGTAAATTGCTACGACATAAACAGTACACTCTTGAAATAATTAACTATTCAATTTTGAGTGTTAAGAAAAATAAACAAAAGAAGAATCCTTGTGTTCATTAATTTAAATTTATTCTTAACAAAATTTCATAGATTGTTGATGAAATAAATATACATTCTAAATAATATCTATCAATTTTATATATTTTAATATAATCATAAATTAATTTATAATCAAAATCTTAATTCATTAATCTAATTTCAAATTTATTTGTAAATTTTAAAACAATATATATCACTATCATACTAAAAGAATTTTAAATCAAGATTCAAAAGCTGAAAAATTCAAGTCATCACTTCATATCATTAACTGAACTACACTTCTGATTCTCTTAATCTACACTTTAGCCATACGTAAACCAAATCATTGAAATATACATACTTACATACCTAAATACCAAAGAAATGTTATGAAATGATGAAAAAGAATTTTTGATATATAATATTTAAAAGATATTCAAATTTGTTAGTGATTTGAAAGATGTTGTTTGCATTGAATAACACCTACAGAAGTAACGATTCCATATTGTCTCGATGATATATTACATTACATTGTGAAGAGAGATAGAGAGAGAAACGCTTGAGAAATGATAAATTCCTCCCATGTTATTTTCCATTAACTCAGAGTATGAGTAGAAGATACGATACTTGTGTATTTATATTTATACAAAACTACGGGTATAAGTCTAATCAAGCAATCTGAACATGAAGTCCTCTGGAGAATGAAAAGACCCTCGAAGGGGTTGGCGTAAACAACTAAGACCATTTAGGAGTTTCAACCTGAAATGGGTTGACGAGCTCCAGCCCTCGTTGTCCTGGTTCTGGAACATGGGGCCATCAAGTGTTCTGGTGGAAATCTTAACGTAAAGCAGAGGGCGATGCTTGTGAGAAAATAGTCCGCGCGGGGCTCAGCCAGTCACGAGACGGTGAGTATTATTGTCAATGCGCCAGCAACCACTTCCGGAGCCAGAGTGAACAACGGGTCGTTGAAATCCCGGGGCGTGGCCGTTATGTCGAGGCGCGCTAACTTGCAACCGGCGGTTACGTGCAACCATGCAATGGATGGCATCGTATACCATCATGCTGGGATGATGCATGATGGTAGTCGCTCTCAGATGGTAGGTCCGATGCCACATCGGAAGATTCTCCTCTCCAAGATTCTCCTGGACTCTCGACCCTGTCCGCCAGAAAGCGTTCTAACTGCCGTCGTGTCACCGAAGCGTCGTCGTCGTCGCGGTCGTCCTTCCTGCGAGCCCCGCAGTTCCCCAGGCCCACAGTTCCCCGGCCGTCTGCCATGGAACGCTTCGAGCTCACTACGGCTCGAGAACGCGGATCGAGTCCACGGGATGCCATGATCGCGCGCACCAGCAGAAAGTGGCAGTTTGCTTCTCGTCCCCAGTTGCGCCGCAAGAAATTGAGTGCGGAAAAAAGTGGTTCGTGTTCAGGTGACGAGCAATTAGAGCTGAGAGTGGACGTGACGGTCGAATCGATTGGATGTTCTGATGTGCACGGGCGGGCTCCCAGCTGGTCTGGTGTAACAGCTGGTGATGTGTTGCAGCAGCAGTGATGTGGACAGATGTCAGAAAGTGGGGTTTTCCAGTTTGGTGGTGTGTAGAGGGTTACATTTGACGAAGGGGATTCGGAACTGAGTGTGAAAAGGAGAGCTTGTTCGTAGCATTAGGGTTTATGCCATGGCAACGGGCAAATTGCCCAGCAAGGAAGCGGGGGTGCTGCGCGGTCACGAGGGCGCAGTGTTGGCCGTGCGATTTAATTCAGACGGCAATTACTGCCTCAGTTGTGGGAAGGATCGTTCTCTGAGGCTGTGGAACCCATACAAGCTGTTGCCCATAAAGTCCTACTCTGGACATGCGCGTGAAGTTCGTGATGTCGCTGTTTCCAAGTGCGTCATTATCTTCATCGTCCGATTGGCAGTTCGGATTTGCCGCGATTTTGTTACTTCCTTTCTTCCAGTTCTGCAATGCCTGTGAAGGGTTTAAGACGTCGAGTACTAATTCATGAGCAATGTTCTTTGGTGTAGAGATAACGCGAAACTTTCGTCTTGTGGAGGAGACCGACAGTTGTTCTATTGGGATGTTTCCACCGGTCGGATAATTCGAAAATTTCGTGGCCATGATAGTGAGGTCTCTAGACTCGGCATCCCTCATGGTGGTGTTATCAAATCCTTTGTTATGGTCATGGATTCCGACATATCACTTACAGTTTTTCTTGCTCACTTTCAAGTGCTATGTAGGTGAATTCTGTCAAGTTCAATGAGTACGGAGCAGCGATTGTTTCCGGAGGATATGATAAGACAGTCCGGGCTTGGGATTGCCGTTCACACAGCATCGAACCCATCCAGGTGGGCTTGGGTAACTGTTGGTTTCTGTGCAGCTTTTCGGCACGTGCTTCTCCGATCAAATTCTTGCGGTCAGCTGAAAAGTGAAGGATAACTCGAAGGATACGTAGCTCTATGTTTTGACCGTGCACAAGGAGAAATTAAATTGGAAACGCATGTGCAGAAAATTGATACGTTTGCAGACAGCGTGACGTCTGTTGTTTTGACATCGACGGAAATTATTGCGGGTTCTGTGGACGGTACCATTCGAACTTTCGATATCAGAGTGGGCAGGTAGGACTGACACCGTAATCAGAGTCCGACAGTTTCTGGCTGAATATGAGACGTTGTTGAGGGTTGCAAATCTATGGAGGTCGGACTCATGGCCTAGAATGTTGTGATCATGTTATGTTCACGTGGTTAACCACCAAGATTCGACAGTGACCGCTTTCTCTCAAGACTTCAAAAATTCGAAATTTGCAGGTCATTTCATTCTCTTTATTTACCATGTCTTGTCAGGGAAGTGGTGGACACTTTGGGACAATCAGTGACGTGCATTTCTCTTTCGAACGATGGAAACTGTTTGCTGGCAGGTTGTCTCGACTCGAACTTGCGCCTGCTGGACAGGTGCCCATTCCTCCGATCCCCACAGTTTTTCATTAATTTTTCTCGAGAAACCATGCAATTTGATAATACGGACGAATTTTTCGGAAAGTTTTTATTGTGGTAGTAGCAAAGAAGAGTCTCATTGATTAAGCTCAGCACACCGTTCAAGAATTCAAAGTAAATGTCTTGCAAACATCTCTGCGCTCCTCTTCAGTATAGAAAGGAGCACACTCCTGGAAGTAGACAGGGGGAAATGGTGGGACTAAGTCAGGTACATGCAATAACTCTCGGCTTGATATGTGGCAGGTCAAGCGGTGAGCTTCTGCAACAATACCAGGGACATACTAACAAGGTCGGTAACTAACTCGGAAGTCATGTTGGTTGTCTTTTAGATACCCGCAGAAGTCATATGTGTTGCTCCTAGTGTGCGAACATCCTCGTGGTTTTGAAGTAGTTGTGATCAGAGTTGAAGTGAATGTTTGCTGAACTATCTCTGCAGTCTTACAAAATGGATAGCTGTTTGACCAACGACGATGCCCATATCGTCGGTGGATCTGAAGATGGACGGATCTTCTTTTGGGACCTCGTTGATCCAGCTCTGGTTTCGTCCTTTAAGGCACATACGTCTGTGGTGAGTTCCTTTGTATTATATGCTTGAAGCATCGATTTTAGCACTTCGAATTCGAGGCTTGTACTATCAGTCTGTAAGACTGAGCACTTACGGTCCAACAGTCGATCGTGGGTCCCGGAATTATCGCCCTTTGCTCTGAAATCGTACATTTTTCTAAAACATAATCATTGTCTATAACTTAGCGCTTGAGTTCAATTCATTCAGTCTAAGCTATCGACTGTGATGTGCAGATAACGGGAATCTCTTACCACCCTAAGGACAGTTGCATGTTGACTTCATCAGTTGATGGCACTATCCGTGTTTGGAAGTCTTGAGATGAATCTCCCGAAGATAAGGTTGGCTGATTTCGCTGTCGAATCGACTATTTGCTAATTGTGGTGAGGGTAACATTCTTTTTAGACTCAACAGCTTTAACTCATAATTCACGTGGCTTTCATAAGCAGTGTACATCTTTGAGTTTGCGACTCTTACACGGATATTATTTCCCAACAGGAATCCTGTCATCATTGAGTTGGAAAAGAACGGAGTTAGCAGATCGTTCATAGGAAAACATTGCCCTCATTCATAGGGGCTTTAGAGCAGTGTATTCTGGTTACTGCGTGCAGGTCTGAACTTCAAGCACACCTGGTCTGGAGCAGATGACAGAAGGCAGAGAAGACAGAACGTTGGTATTTTCCCAGCATGGTAACGCGAGATTGTACATGAACTGTCTTCACTTTGGAGGTTCATGAAATATTGTAAAGCCTACCAATGGAATTTTCGTCTTTCCAGAAATGTTACTCAGTGCAACTGTGGGTTTACACATCTCGTAGAGCTGGTTTTGGCGGCATAGTTTCTAGCACTGGATGGATTTGATATAGCTCCAGAATATCTCCAGGATTTAGAATCTTCTCTGGCTCCTGGAACCTCGGGCATTCCCAGGAAAGGTTGCAGTTGTCCTAAGAAATGTAACGACCTTGATTATATGACCACATTTCCATTTGTTATTCTCACGCTTGGACGTCACATTCTCGATTTTTAGCCTTCAGCGCATAACGCAGAAACCCAAACCGGTAATACTGGTACTATAGGTTCAATGCAACTACAATGCCTGAGTACTACTACTGGTGTCTCAAGGACACGTGATCTATGAGTCGTAAACAATTTCTGAGTAACGGGTTTCACTAATTTCAGTGTCCAGTGGTCTGAGCAAACAGTTGAATGTCGGGTAGGAAGCCTCTTCGAGCCGTGAAAGTTAAAGGCTGTCGGACCTTGACCTCGTTGGATTAGTTTACCTTAATCCAGTGTTGGTTTCTGTCGAAGGTGTTAGTGGGCTAGAGTGGGTGACCTGAACGGACAGGCGACAAGCATGTAGAATTGGAACCTGCAGCGTGCTATTACCAACGGAAGGAGCCCCATCGACAAGCTACCGAAGATCGACGGAATAAAAATCACGGAACCAATGAAAAGAAATGGTGATGCCGGGAGCATTCCAATCCCAACAGCACTGTAAACTGATAAACAAGATAGGATAGACGGAGTTTCCGTACCGTTTGTCCACACCACCCGCTCGTGAATCTCTTACAAGCAGCAGAGGGTCGAATCCCTTGTCGCGGTGCAGTTATCGAGGAGGATCCTGTTGTCTCGGAACTCCCCAGACTACCGTTTCTCAAGCTTCGACAACAACGACCGGTGATGTAGATCATTTGCTCTCCAGTTCCCCGCTATTATGTCGGCTCACAAGGTAGGGTGACAACCTCAGGGCAGACGAAAAAGGTTGTCTGCCCCGGGACTCGTCACGGCCTCCGGCTTACGTAGAGGTCAATCCTGACGCTTCAGTTTCACATCACAAATCAACAACTTTGTTCTCAGTGTTTGGTTGTCGAAGTCGTCAGTCTGATGGAGGAGTGAACCGGTCCAGCTGGACGAGAGCAATCACTTATTTTGCTTGGAGAATTCGCTCATCCTTCAGCCTCTATACACACAGGTAGCGAAGCTGGCGGTGGCAGGATTCCCCCTCTCGCCACAAGCATGGGCTTGCTGTCGGTCTCTCCGAAAGGAAGGCCCGAGCCTTTGGGCGGAGCCATTCGTACAGCATCAAATTTTCGGATTTCGGCGTTCGGTTACGGCAGTGACTCGGCATCCCGTAGCACCTGTGAAGAATGGTTATTCGATTTCAAATCGGAGAACATCCTTGCTGATGGCTAGCCAATCGGTACTCCTCCTCCACTCAGAACAGCTTTTAAGTCGTGTTCACAAACGATTACGTGCTCGATGTGTGAATTCATTCTCTCCATTCCAAAATCTGCAATCGTAAATTAAAAATTTGTGTTCAGTCAGCATGTGGACAGTCGCTGTGATCAGTATGGCCTGCCAGTGGAAGAACATGGTTGAATCAATTGTGTCCAGAATTCGCGAGGTGAATTAGTCCTCTCAGCGGGGTAAATAATTGTCCGCTTGCAGCGTTCGGAGCCGGACTTTGGAAACAATGTTGAAGATGATGAAAGCGGAGACGAATACGATGACGAGGACAATTCAGGTCAAGTGATGTTCGAGGAGAATGTGGAAATCATAATGCGAGCAGCGATGAACTTGTTTCGTAAGTATTCTTCTAAGGGAATTCGAGCTATTAGGGAGATTTCACCACCGGCGATATCCACAGAACTGGTAACACACAGGACCCTAATCATTCTTTCTAGCAAGCCATTCATTTCCAACCTACATCTATGGTGACCTCCTTCACATTGAATCACTTGTTCTGAATTTCATTCGCACAAGGCTAGTCTAGTCTACTCAGTCCGCTGGACACTACTCGTCGTCGGAAACACCTCGCCAGGATACCGTGGCTGCCACAGAGAAAGGAATGAAGTGTGTCGTCTATCACTAGCTCTACTCGAGAATTTCACTAATTTCCGGTTCTGAAAGAGAATTCTGGTCCTCGCACAAAAGTGCACAATAACCAACCCATTGCAGACGAAACCGGAACGCGAAAGGTGCTCGATACTAAACCCCGTCATGCTTCCCTGGAAGCGCAGATTGCGTTCGGAGTGAAGGGAACGCTGTGCGTGGCTTTTTTATGGGTATTCAGGGCGATACTGGAGGTGAGACTGGCTGCCCGTCTCTTGAACGGACCATTGTTGAGGTTGATAGTCAACCCGTCGTCCGCTCTCATCCTCACCCCTTTCTTCGTACTGTGCTGTGCTGCAGATCTTCTGCTCGATGGCAACTTATGTCTTCGCCGGACTTCTCGTCCTGCGATTGGCTTGGTCTGTGGTGGCGAGCTCCCAACCTCGTGACCCGAGCTGGTCCGCCGACGGGAATTAGACCAACAGACCGGCACTCGATACATGAGTTCCACATTCTATTTCGAATTTGTAAAATCCTGTGATAGAAGTTGACCATATGTATAATTGAACAAATTTTTATCTCGACAGCTTGACATACTCATCGAACTTTGATATGGTTCTTCACACTTTGACACAACTCTTCGTTGCTTGATTGATCTGCTGTAATCACGTTCTGTGGATTGTCTGGGTTGTGCACACAATATTCACCTCTAATCACCTCTACTTGTTGTGTATACACGTATCCCTCTTCCACTCTAATATCTTAAATAAAGAATAGATCTCGTGTGACGTTCAGGTTAAGAACTGGAAACTTGTTTGATCCTCCTCACAAAAGTCAAAGCCTTTTCCTGATAACAAAGAAAAAATTCGTTTCATATACATAAGACTTTTAATATGTGAAACATGAAACTCTCCAAGTAAAGACCTTGACACTTGGTACTCCAAACAAAACACGTACCCTTTTCCAACATGTTCAACTAAAATTCGACGCTCATACATACAAGGTTCCGAGTAAAGAGCATGAGAGTGAAAGAGAGTTCTTCATAAATGGATTTCGTTTTTTTGATACACTCGCAGAAGGGTGCAATGCTTCATAGATACAATTCGCCGAGGGGCGAAGAGGGTCTGCGGCGATAAGCCTCCGACGGGCTTCATGGAGCCCAGCAACACTGATCTCAACGACAGCAAGAATCCTCCCGAAAATTCTACTTGAAAAGCTCCAAGTCGTTACCGACGGACAATGGGCAAGTCTCGTGGAGGGAGACCTGTCGCTGCCGGTCGCTTCCGGTCGAGTCCTGCCTTGACGACTCATCGATCTCCGAAGACTTCAGACCCATCCGACGTGGCAATGTCTTGCGAGCGGTCGTGTCAAAACTGTGGTCATGCTCCAATGCACACGTGGAGTTCGGAACGGGCCAATACCGCGAGCCGGACTCTCTCAATTCTCGGAGCCTTCTCTTCGTCTGTGCGGCGTGACCGGCAACTTTTGATCCGCTCCACATGCCGGTTGACCTTGCCACGTCGGCCGGCCACCGCGACCTCCCTCTTCTTGCACAGAATGCCTCGTCCCCTAACTTTCCTCCTTCTCCTCCTTCTCGTCTCTTTCCAGATCCCCTTCAGCTGCCCTCTTTCTCAGGGGCACTACTTGGCGCAGAGTTTGCTTCCAGTCTTTCAGCTTTTGGAAGCACAGCAGCAGCTCCATAACCTGATTCACAGTCAAAACCTGCAAAAGACGAACCACTTGCCCCTCAGTGGATGATCGAGTGGGAGATGTCTGCGCAAACCTCCGAATGAAAACAAGTAATCAAGACCAAAGTTCATTTGCTCTCAAATAGTGTGTATTATTATAATCTATTCTCTCTATATATTGCTTTATATTGCTCTATACGGCAGAATTCCACACAACACACCCTATGCCATTCCTACTTTTAATGGTTTTGGAAAAATAACGCACCTTAGATCCTGCCATCTTAAGGTGATCGCCCACTGGCAGCTTCGCCGTCGCAATGCCTTGTTCCTTGGCTTTATCCAAGGTTATGTTTTTCCACCTGTTGCGATCTACTAACCCTCCGACAATGTAAATCTTGGAGCTGTCAAGTTCCTCCAAAATGGTCTCTGAGTCTGCTGTCAAGTACACCAAGTCTTCTTTCCGGTCCTTGAACACATCCAGATAAGACGCCTCTTCTTTGTGGAGGAGCCAATTTTTATATCCTGAAATTTTCTCAAGCGATTCTTGGATCGTCCCCGTCACTCCTGTCAATGTGATTCGCCCTGGGTGCTCTGCTCTCGCATTGGCAGCGTACGAGTACATCACCTGATCCGACAGAAGTAATCCGTCAGTCACTAAGTGAAGCAGAATCAGGTAGTACTCATGGGACCCGAACAGTTTAGCGACAACAAAAATGACTCGCGTGAATTTCGAGACAGCAACTGATATAGAACCACTAAACCTATATTACCGAAACAATGCCTCGACAATTTCCATCAGCGAGTAGTACTCACGAACTGTTAAGAAAGGGATCGCGGACATTACATTACATCCAGAACCGGCAATTGTCTGGGTTTTATGACTGCAGAAGCAAACAAATGATCTGGTGCTAGGTGCTAGGTGCTAGGTTCGGAAGAAGATTTAAGTCTGTAGAGATAGAACATTCTTGAATTTAAATTGGTGCCAACCATCGAAAGTGGGAACGCGGACTCCTGCAGGGTTTGATGGTCTGTGCATACACTGCTCGCATTTTCCACGGAAAGATCAAATTGAGATTTCAAAGCCAGCTGAATGGGGACTGTTGTGCTAGACCTGAGGACATACCTGCTGGATTAAGCTGGTGAGCTCCTGAGGTTTCATGAGGTGGCTGAACTCGAGGTCTATGACGTAATTTTGACCCGAAGTCAAGGCCTCCCTGAGCTTGTCCTTCCTCTGCTTCTGCTCATCCTTGCGCTCCTTTCGAACATCCGTCTTCTCCTGCTTCGCTTTCTCTCTCTCCTCCTCCGTCATGAGGGCGAGCTTCTCTTCCCACTCTTTTCGTTTCCTCTTGGATTCTTCATGTCGTTTCTCCTTCTCGGCCGCCTTTCGCATCTTCTTCTTAATCTTGTACCTCCTCGCTTTCTCGGCATTCTTCAGTGCCGACTTCGACATCGGCCCCGGGGCTTCATCCTCTTCCTCATCGTCGCTCTCATTCTCCTCCTCGGATCTATTGTCATTCTGACCGGCATCCCCAGATTTGTCCACCTTGCCATCCTCCACTGAGGATTTGTCTACCTTCGGACCCTCATCCCCTGACCTGCCACCTTCGGCATCCATGGGCAAAACTTCACCCTCTTCCACGTCCTCCGCCTCGACGACCTTCGCAGCGCCATTCTCAGCGGCCTTCGATTTCTTCCCCACCTTCGTGTGCCCGTTTTTCCCCGCGGCCAGAGCCTTCGTTTTCTCCATACCTGCAATTACCATCGCCTAACCTCTTAAACCCTCAGCCTACTCTCAAAGCGAAAACAAAGCCTTCTCTTCTCGCTCGTTCCAGCCCTCCTCCTCCCCTCCTCCTCTTCACCCGAACGCGATGAAACCACGCAATCCCAGGATCCCGCACGATCACTCCCTCCCTCCCTCCCTCTTCTACGATCGCTCCAAAACCCTCAAGGCGTCCAAAGCCCTCGACGGCAGCCAAAAACTGTAAGAGGAAATTCCATTCACCGCAGAGGCGGCTACGGGCGGAGAAACGGGGCACTCGACCGACCCGACTCGACCCGACCCGACCCTAATGAAGGCGAATCGGCTTCGTCGAGGGAGCCATCGCCCTTGCCTTATGCGAATGGCCGAGGGGGCGGGGGGCGGGGGGCGGGGACTGCGCAATTACACAATTCCCCCATGCCCATGAGGAGGAGCAGCAGCACCGGTTCCGCCGGATGGATCCAACCCTAATACCCTGTACTGTACTCTTCTGTCGACGCTCGGCGCCTTTCGTCACTGTGTTTTGTCCTCTTCCAGAGCTCCTCCACTTCTTCTTCTGCTTCTGGCTCGCTCTACCCCCCGCACGGGTTGAGGGTGTCGGTTGTTCCCGTCGGGGGAGCGGGGGCTGAGAATCAATGAGGCGACGTGCACTTGTCAGCTTACTGTCCACAGAAGCTACGACCTTCTCCGGGACTCGAGGGTCGTGTCAGAAAGTGTACTTGAGCGGATCCGGGGTCCGGACGAGAGCTCCATCGCCGCAGTGTGCTGTACTGGGATCGCCCTACGACCTCGGTACCGCCGTCGTCGTCGTCGTCGTGCAGCAGCGAAGGCTCTCGTGGAGCTGAGATACTTTCTGTGGATCAAATTATTCTTGTGGGTGGCAGATGAATGTGTGTGTTTTGTGTGTGCGTCACGTTGCGCGGAGCGTGGAGATTGGAGCTGGCGAGAGGCTACGGGAGGCAGGCGGGCCGTGCACCTTGACGTCCTCGCAAGAGAGCGATGATGCCACGGTCGCTGCTGCTGCTGCTGCTGCAGCACCAAGGCCTCTGCTGCTTCGGATGGGTAGGGGTTTTCGGAGGATTGATGCGTGATTCCGGGGGTGGCGTCGAGGATTCATGAGCAGCTCCGGCTCCTTCTCGTGAGTGAGTGAGTGAGAGAGAGAGAGAGAGCGAGTGAGGGAGAGGGAGCCCGACACCGAGGGAGGGAGGGAGGGAGGGAGGGAGGAAGGGAGCGACGATGGCGTTACGATGTGGCCCTTCCGCTCCACTCTCCCAGAGTTCAGGATGGTGGGCCGAGCCCTGTGGGTTAGAATTCTCCCGCTGGCGGTCACCTCCTCCTTCGTCTTGCTTTCTCTCTCCCACTTCTGCAATTCTTGCCATTCCAACGATTCGTCGTCGCAGCTTGCGATCGTCTCCTCTCGAATCGCAAGTGAGGGAGGGGCCTAGCCGATTTCCACCCTGTCAACTATTGGTCCGGACTCCCCAGAAAGCATTCTTTCCAAGGAGAAGAGATGTTGTCGAAGCAGCAGCAGCTGCTGGAGAGAAGCCGGACTCTGCACCGAAGCAGGTGCAGCTCAGCGGTGCAAAGCCAATCCCTCTGCTGCTTTCGGTGTCCCTCGGTCTGGCGTTCAGATTCCTCGTCCCGAGACCCGTTTCTGTGACGCCTCAGGCATGGCAGCTCTTCGCCATTTTTTTGTCGACGATCTCGGGGCTTGTCTTTGCTCCTCTGCCGGTGGGAGCATGGGCGTTCCTGGGGCTGACGGTCACTGTCCTCACCAAGACCCTCCCGTTTTCCGTGGCATTCCACGCGTTCACGAACGAGGTGCTCTGGCTGATTGTGATCTCCTTCTTCTTTGCCAGGGGATTTGTGAAGACTGGGCTCGGAGATCGTGTGGCAACTTATTTTGTGAAATGGTTTGGGAAGAGTACTCTGGGATTGTCGTATGGTCTAACTCTGGCCGAGGCTCTCATCTGTCCGGCGATGCCCAGTACAACAGCACGAGCTGGAGGCATCTTTTTGCCCATTATCTCATCCCTGGCCATTCAAGCCGGAAGCAAACCGAGGGACAAAAGCTCTTCCAAGCTGGGAGGATTTCTGATCCAGTGTCAACTGCAGGCAGCAGGCCATTCCAGTGCCTTGTTTCTGACCGGGAGTGCTCAGAATCTTCTCTGCCTGAATCTGGCCAAAGAGTTGGGCGTCATTATCGCTAACCCCTGGATGACCTGGTTCAAAGCTGCGAGCGTGCCAGCAATATTTGCCCTCCTCACCACTCCCCTTCTCATGTACAAAATTTTCCCTCCAGATTTGAAGCAAATCCCCAACGCCCCTATGATGGCTCAGAAGAAATTGGAAGAGTTGGGCCCCGTCTCGAGAAATGAATGGATCATGTTGGCAACAATGCTGCTGGCGGTGATCCTCTGGTCTCTCGGTGATATCATCGGAGTTGCGAGCGGTGTCGCGGCCATGGTCGGGTTGTCCGTCTTGCTCCTCACTGGGGTGCTGAAATGGGACGATTGCCTTGCCGAGAAGGCGGCTTGGGATACCCTCACGTGGTTTGCAGTGCTTGTGAGCATGGCTAGTCAATTGACCAAATTGGGATTCATACGCTACTTGACTGGAATCGTTCAGGGGACGCTCTCCCAGTACTCTCTCAGTTGGCCTGCCACCTTTGCAATTCTGCAGACGGCATACTTCTTTTCTCACTACCTCTTCGCCAGTCAGATAGGCCATGTTAGTGCCTTGTTCTCAGCTATCATGGCCATGCAGATTGCTGCTGGCGTGCCTCCCGTGCTCGCAACCCTTGCCTTGGCTTTCAATACCAATCTCTCTGGAGCGCTCACTCATTACAGCAGCGCCAAGGCAGCCGTTTACTATGGAGCGGGCTTCGTGGAGTTGTCCGATGTTTGCAGGCTGGGAGCTGTGTTTGCCGTGAAGAACTTGCTTGTGTGGGCAGTCGTGGGAATGCCTTGGTGGAAGTACCTTGGGCTGTACTGAAAGAGGTTCGCTGCAAGCGTGGAGTCTCTCTTCCGTGCTACCGTTTTGATCTCCTGATTTTTTGGTACTCGAGCAAGTACCCGTCGAGAAGAAAGATAGGCGATTTTTTGGCCTCCTCGAACAGGAGCCCAACTGACATAGCTCGTAGATCACACTGTCACATCTGTCCTCGATCAGACGAGAAATTCACTAGAGTGTACTCTGTATTATAGTGTAGAACTTAATTCTTCATTCGGATTCACTCGTCAGGAGTAGAACATGCCGCACAGACAGAAATCTGTGGTTCTGTGTTCAGGCACTAGAAGGAGTAGCTAGCTAGCTAGTAATCAGATATCGTTCGAAATCACGAAAAGCCAAGGACTGCTGCGGGGAGCGGGCAGAACAGGCAGAGGTTCGAAATGAGCATGCGTGTGGTTAATCTTGAAAATTCTTTCACATTCTGAAGTACGCACATTCTGCCAGAGAATTGGAATTGATTGGACTACATTGCTCATAGGACCCATGGTCGAATGTTAATCTATCCGACACAGCGGGCTTCACCGATCATAACAGCATCGAACTAATTCTTGCTACATGACTGCGGTGTTGGTCAACCTGCTCTCAGTGCACTGAGTGCAATCCGAGCCCATCAGTCTTGTAGGCATTCGACGAACACCATAATTGCCGATTTCGTAGGAGGTCGTGTCTGGTGCACAGTACGTCATTCTTCTGCGAAACGGGAACCTCCGTCGACATAGCTCTCGTGTTCTCAGAATGCCCTCACGAACTGGCACCTGGAATCCGAGAGTCGATTGTCTCCGGAAATGTCTCCGGAGTCATCATCTTTCGCAATGCTCCGTCGAGTTCGGTGGCACCCGTCAACTGTCGTAGGATCACAGTTGACGCGCCGTCGGACATGAGTCAAATATCATTATTTGCAACCATCGAACAGGAGAACAGTATAGTTCGAACCACTCCCGCAAGAGCCAGGACGAACTGACTCGAAATACGGCCCAACGTTAACATTCGTGATTTGCGGTGGAGCCCGAGGTGTCCTATCTCCTGACTCACGGCGAATCTTCACTGACGAAGATTGTACCCGACGTTTTAGCGTCGCCGTAAATCAGGGTGGAGATTCCGGGTGAGACTAAAATGTCATGTAAGACCTTGATCGGCGCGGGACAAAGGTTACAATCGTTGAGGAAGTATCTCTACAAGCTACTGGATTTGGTAATATTGCTTGAGAATAAGAAGGGCCAAGTGTATCGAAAAAAACTCTGGTAATTATCCAACTATACACAACCATTAACGACCATAGGTCACGTTCCTCATGCAATCGGTGAACTCTGTACAATGATGACAAGTACTACATTTAAAACCAAAAAAATAATGCTAATAAGTATAAACTAAAGTATATGACAAATTGCATGCCATGCAATATGAGAGTCTTTTTATTTCTTAATGAACATGTAATGCAACAAAGCAATCATATTTTTTAATACCCCTAACTATTGAAATTTTGTCTATCATTGGCACACTGGCAGTCCATACAAGAAGATTATTAATCGCTCCTTCATGAATATTGTCCTACAAATACCTATTACCGTTTGCAACCATAACTTAATATTTTCAAATTGCACATAAAATTTTACTTCTACTTACTACCAAAGACTTCTCCATGTCATTTGTCTAATCTCAGCTGTAATTGCGAATATAAAAGTACTTAAAATCATTGTGGTCAGCTAATCAAATGAACATCAAGTAAAAAATACATTTGATATAACTAAAGTAAGTTCAGTTTTTAAATGAAGACGTGGATAAATTGATGGAGCCCAAATCAAATCACATTAATAACAATGTAAATTGATTTCTACAAGTCTAAAATATCTAATGCATAGTTGGATTTAAAAGTTTAATCTCTTCATTCAAAAAGTTGTAGTCTATGTTAAGATGAAAGTGTTAGCAATAGCCCAAATCGGCATCTTAAACTTGAAATCGATGTACTCGATAAATGATATTAGGGTATCGGTTGATTTGTTTATGCATTTCATGTACTTCTAAGCGCGGCAAGTCGCATGGAACAAAAATTATTGTTCGAAGAGATTAATATTTGGGTCAAAAGGAAAAAATACATATATTGTTTGTGTCTTATGTCTTCTATCTTGTATTTTCTATTAGCTTTTCTTGTCAATTGATATTAGAGCCGCAAGACTTGATAAGGTATGTGTGAAATAATATTGTTTGTAGTAAATGAGTTGATCATGGTTAGGTTAGCTTTAACTAAATCTAGTTAGTTATAAATAAGTTTATTTAGTGATAACTAAGTTAGCTATCACGTCTCAACTTGGCAAAATGATAAATGGAGTTTTAGAAGTTTTGGGTGAACATAACTATTTTGTATACTATCAAAGTCTAAATTCCAAGGATATGAGAATTTGATTACATAATTTATTTTTGATTGGTTTGACTAAATAATGAAAACTTCATTCATTGATTATATTATGTCTAATGTTGATTCAATGGTAAGTTGTAACCATCTTTTGTTAGTTAAAACTAAAGTAGATGTTACTTTGAATGTTGATATAGATACTTTAACGTGCTCTAGTCATAGTTGCCACGTCAACAATCTAGGCGCTTGGTAGGTAGAGAGTAGGTGTGTTAGTTGATAGTGTCACGTCAGCGATCCATGTGCTTGTTAGGTGAAGACTGAGTGTATTAGTTATTGTGTTAGTTTGGCACGTCACATCAGCAATCCGTGTGCTTGTTAGGATTATCCGCCACGTGATTCATCCATTAGTAGTGGGATGGATGGTGGAATAAGATTTTATACCCTTGTATTTCTTGGTGAGAGATATATAGGGGAGAGAAAAACCTTTGTTGGTATCTCTCATCTTCAAAGTTTATGTTTCCGTCTTCGAGTGAATTTCTCTCTAAATCTTAATGTTACACAAGTTGAGTTTCTAGAAGTTTGAAAGATTCAAACAGCATGTCGTCACCTCAATCTAGGGATTAGGAAGGATGTAAAAGGTTTAGGTGGCTGATAACATGTTGTAACGTATTGGAAACTAATCAAACTTACTATGACTTATCTTTATAAAAGTAAATTAGATAAGAATTATCATTTATTACTATGGTAATTTTTTACTAAATATATATATAGAGGTAGGGAATAACATCTCAAACAAGTTTGGAGAATTATATGTAGAGAATTCTTTCATTAATGAAAGAGTGACGTTTTTAGCATCTTGGAATGTCGAAGTGTGTATGAACTTAAGCGATGAATGAAGAGAATGTGAGAGAGTGTGTTTGGAAAGTGATCATAAGTAAGAAACATAATCTTCTAGAACCATGATGAGCTATCACAAAGCTTTTTGAGTTAAACTTGAGTGAGAATCAATCCACAAGTTATATTTTTGGTTTTTGTCATGTACTTCAATTCCAAAAGACAAAATGTTTAGAATTTGATTTTAGCTTGAGAGAAAATGTTCATGAGATGTCACTTGGATTTGATACTTGAAAATGAAAGAGCGGATAACATGGATTTAGGGCTCTCTCTTCGTTAACTCTCACTTAGCTTTAACTCAGATAATTTTGCGGTAACTCATCATGGTTCAACATGTAGATCAATGGCATCTATCAACCTCTATACTCTCTCCAAAATTATACTCCATCATCACTAGGTTGTTTAATTAGAGTTAAACCACACACAAGGAAAGAATAAGATCGTTCTAATATCATTATAACATTAGGGTTTAGAGATAAAGCTCATTGAGAAATGAAAACATAAACTCCAAAGATGGGAGATACCATCAATGATTCTACTCTCCTTTATCAAGCTATTATCAGCAAGTACAAGGATATAATATTTCATTCTCACAATCTATTCTACTCATAGTGAATGGATGACGTGACATATAACCACAACAAGCACATGGATTTTCAGCGTTGGTCAACAAAGGTGCATGTTCAAATTCCATGTTTCTCATTGTATTTATCTATGGATAATTCTATACTCTGTGGTAGTGTTTCTATCACTTCTATTTGCACGTTTGGCAATTCAACTTTCTCACTCATGTTCTTTATCAACATCAAACCTAATTTCATAGCAATACTTCTTGATTGAAAAAAAAATTTAAGAAAAAATTTCAATATAAATCAGAACTTTCACATTGTGTACTTCCATCAAATTATATGTGACAATGAGTTGAGCTTGCTTTTTACTCCTTCATGAGTTCGCAACCATTTTCTTCTTTCAAACTCGTTTTTTCTTCGCCACAAGACAAGTACACTCGTTCTTTGTTTCCAAGAACTTCTTCCTCAATCTTGTCATACTCTAACCCCTCCATGTTGTTGACGGTCGTCGTTGTATGGGTCGTCCTCCTTGTGCTCAAATCGAATTTGGAAAAACTTAGCAATGTGACCCATTCGTCCACGTGCATAGCATTGATGATTGTCACAAACTTCCGCTTCTACTCAAATCATTCCATTATTTGCATAATTTTCTTGCTAATTTGGATATCTTGGTTGGCAAATCTCATCTCCAAATCTTGGTAGTTTTATTTTTGCTGGTGCAAAAACTTCTTTACGTCCAAGGTTGTTCAACTCCATCGCTGTAGTGTTGGATGGATTTCAAAAATTTCTTGCTGGTTCATCATGTCTGACGCCATAAGCAACTGATATTCGTTGAGCAATTGCAATTGCTTACCATCAACTTCTTTTGAATTTGATTCTTCAAGTCTTGTTTGAACATATCTAAGGCTTCTACTTCACTCATATTCATGATACATATTTGAATATCACAAAAATTTTCAATGTACTCATGGATGTTTTCTTTTCTGCTTCAAATTCCACAACTTCATTCTTGCAGTTTGAAGAGACTCAATCGTTTGAAAATTCTGCAGAAGTTCTTCCTGCATTTCACTTCACAAAATGATAGCAACTCGTTCGAAAAACATTCTTTCCCATAATGTGTACCATGTGAAAGTTTTATGCGTAAGAGAAGATATCATAAGCATTTCTGCAATATAATCAAAAACATGACAATGAGATAAATGAATATTCATTCTCATTATATATGACTCTTAAACTCTAATTGCTCTATTTCTTTTGTAAACTTTCACCTTACAAGATTTTCAGATTCAAAGCAAAAGATTTGTTTCATCTTTAATATCTTGAAGACGTCTCCTATTTGCCTCTGTTGCATCAATAAGAGTTGGTTCCGGTTGAACTTGGAGAGTTTGAACTTGAGGTTCAATTTCCATTTCTCTAACTCTTTCTCACTCTCCAATGCAAAGATTTTATCTTCCATGACTTGCTGCTTGGTATATCCATCTACCAATGTTTTTTTCAACTCCTTCATATCTACCATGATTGCGTTGAGAACCTCATACATATCAAATATTGTCCTCATGCTTTTTCGCACTTTCTCTAATACAAAGTAAATTTGATCACTATCTGATCTCTCAACAAAGGAGTCACAAAAGGTATAGGTGTTTCTCTCACAACTCTACAGTACTCTTCACCATTATTTCTCACAACAATATCTATTCACAATCTATTCAGTTGATGTACTATTCTAATCTTTTCAAATCGCGACGTGTGGTTTGCAATTCAAATTCATGAAACATTAAGTATATAATGTATATAGTACAATTCCAAATCTCTCCATAATTAATTATTGGAAAAATTAGTGACACTCTCGATTACATCAATCTAGTCATAAAATCTGTATACCAACAAACCACAAGGTAAATCCCAAAAAGATGTTTCTCCATGCAATGAAGGTGAATATCAAATAGATTAGAAATTGAATAATCCGGTGAAATCCTCTCAAATCCATCTATATCTACAAAACCACAA